ATATATATATAAGAAAACAAACCTTGAAGGCCCTCTTTACCCATCCCAAAGAAGCAAAAAAAGAGCAAAAAAATTATTTGTTCATAGATTCCAAAGCCAGCTGGGTCATTTTGCTCAGGTAGTTTGACCTCCAGGAGAACATAGGCCAAAGATCTGCCCCAAAAGCTCTTTAAAAACAAAAAAACACACCCAATCTTGACTGAAAACTTGCCCAGGATGGAGTATTCCCCCCACGACACTCAGTAACTTGTCCCAACAGTTTGTCCCCTTTAAATTCACACCAACACCTTTAAGATCAATGGTATGGTCCTTTTCTGCATCTGGGGATTACCATGGAGGAGAAGCTGGATATGAGTCAGCAGTGTGACCTTTGCTAATTGTCGGCCACCCTTTTGCCAAGAAGGCCAACGGCATATTGGGCTGTATTAGTAGGAGCATTGCCAGAAGATCAAGGGAAGTAATTAGTCCCCTCTATTTGGCACTGGTGAGGCCACACCTGGAGTATTGTGTCCAGTTTTGATCCCCCCACTACAGAGGGGATGTGGACAAATTGGAGAGAGTCCAGCAGAGGGCAACGAAAATGATCAGGGGGCTGGGGCACATGACTTAGGAGGAGAGGCTGAGGGAATTGGGCTTCTTTAGTCTGCAGAAGAGAAGAATGAGGGGGGATTTGATAGTAGCCTTCAACTACTGAAGGGGGGTTCCAAAGAGGATGGAGCTCGGCTGTTCTCAGTGGTGGCAGATGACAGAACAAGGAGCAACGGTCTCAAGTTGCAGTGGGGGAGGTCTAGGTTGGATATTAGGAAACACTATTTCCCTAGGAGGCTGGTGAAGCACTGGAATGGGTTCCCTACGGAAGTGGTGGAATCTCCATCCTTAGAGGTTTTTAAGGCCTGGCTTGACAAAGCCCTGGCTGGGATGATTTAGTTGATGTTGGTCCTGCTTTCAGCAGGGGATTGTACTAGATACCGCCTGTGGTCTTTTCCAACCGTAATCTTCTATGATTCAATTCTATGATGATGCAGATGTACTGTGTGTGCGTGAGATTTTTATTTTATTTTTTAACCCGTGAAAAGCCAGGTGGGTAAAGAAAAGTCCAGTTGGAGCTGGGACCATGTCCCCCAGGGGAGCCGCTCTGCCATGATCCCCCACTTTTCTCTTGGACACCGTTTGCATGTTGCATGAGGAGACAATCCTGGGTGGGTCCGATGGGTACGTCCAGGAGCAAGGTCTCTGGTGTTAACCCCATGCAGGGGGAGGAGCGCTGCCCAGACCCAAGCTGGTGACCAAAACTCAATCCACGAGGAGACGGTAGATTTCAGTGTTACCGGGTGGATCCAGCCCTGGCTCCAAACGGATTCACTCCCAGCCCACTTGACTCAATTGCCTTCGCCCATCTTGAGCCAACCAGTCCCTGCCCTGGGGCCGGATGGGAGCCGGCGCCCCCTAGAGGGGAGAGGCCCCTGCCCCATTCCCTGCCCCCCTGAGCCAGCCAGTCCCTGACCTGGGGCCGGATGGGAGCCAGCACCCCCTAGAGGGGAGAGGCCCCTGCCCCATTCCCTGCCCCCTGGGGCCTGATGGGAGACCAAATATTACAGTTCTGGATACGTGTATACAGCCCACACAGCCATGGGTGGGAACTGAACCCAGGACCTCCAGCCCCCCCAAACATCTGTTAGCGGGGAGGGAGCTCCCCTCGCTGCCCCTAGAGGGAGCTAAACCCCCAGCACTCAGCTGGCAAACTGCAGTAACCCCATGGGGGCATCGCTCCATTCCCCCATCTTGTCTGTCCAGGGTTCTCTCCAGAAAGCAATTAGGGTCTGAACAAATCACCCACCCATCCCCATCTCCTCACAGTGGTACAGTCTGAACCCCTGAAGAAAGGGAGGAGAACAGCAGGTCCCAGGGGACGCTGCCCATTACAGGAATGAACATGAATTCCCAGGTCGGCTGATGTCCCATGATGCACCTGGGGTCCTTGGTTGAAGGTGAACGGCAGATCCCAGGTTGGCCGAAGTCTCATAATGCACCTGGATCTTCAGCTACAAAGCGAACAGCAATACCTAGATCGGGGCCACAGTCACACAATGCACCTAGGGAGGTAGGACCAGTGCATGAAAAGATGAGTTCATTTCTGGTAACCGGCACGAGTTGGGCACCCAGTCCGGCCCATCTTCCTTCCACAGGACATGATGGGGGCAAGAGGGGGAGCAATTTGAGTCTGCCCCATGGCAGAAGGGCCCACAGGGACTGGCCGGGAAGTGTCAGGTGGTGTTGGCCATGGATCTGGATGGGGGGGGGAGGGGAGGAAGAATTAGTCACATCAGAGCCACTTGGTCTCCCCCAGCTTCCCCCCCCCATCCTGCTATTATTGGGGAGGCACTCTAGGTCACATCTCTATGGCGAGGGAGAGCTGGAGGACTCTAAATGCAATAGAGCCCTAGGGTAACCATTGGGCCCGCCCACAGCCATAGAGCTTGGGCCAGGGCAATGGGCAGTAGAGTGGGCAGAGTAGCTCTATGCAGGTGGCTGCTCTGGGCCCCGTCTCTATGGTTAAGGAGAGTAGGAGGACTCTAACTGGAATAGAGCATTGGGGTGACCTCGGTGGGGGCAACCTGTAGGCCACCCACAACCATAAAGCAGAGCAGCTCATGGAGAGAGCCATGCTACCGTCTCAGGCATTCTAGCCCCGTCTCTATGGTCCATGGGATGGGAGACAGAACCAGGCTCCCGGTGGGGGCTCTGTGATAAGGGCGGGGTGTGGGAATTCGGAGATAAGGTGAAGGGGAACAATATGGTGGTGTTATGCTTATGATCTGGTGAATATTAATCAATATGTAAATGAGTGTAGTGCTCATTTGCATAGACCTGTGGTTTCCAGACCTGGCTGAGATGGGGGTCGGGGGTTAGGGATTTGCTTCCGAGGAAAGAGGAGATGCTAAGAGCTGCCGGCTGCCACAGATGGAGTGTCTAAGGGGGAAGAGCCCAGGGTAGCCCCGTCTTCCCGGAGGTGGGGCCAGGAGGCGCATGGCAGGTGACTCTGGCTCCCAGCATGGCTTGGCCTTGCCGAGGTGCTTCTGGGGGTGACTTTATCCATGGGCGGGGCAGTTCAGAGCCTTATTGCAGCTCCCCTGTTCCCCAGCCCTGGCCTTACCTCCACCCAGCCCGGCCTCCCATTCGCTGGCCTCCCTCACTACTTGTTCTGCCGGGCTTTCTCCAGTTTCTTCCGACGGTTTGTGGGGATCTCATCCAGGCTGATACCATGGTTACTTGCCCTGAAGGAGGGGGGCAGAGTGAGTCCTGGCTCCCAGCCCACCGCTCTAACTACTAGCCCCCACTCCCCTCCCAGAGCCGGGGAGAGAACCCAGGAGTCCTGGGTCCCAGCCCCCCCCCAGCTCTAACCCACCAGCCCCCACTCCCCTCCCAGAGCCAGGGAGAGAACCCAGGAGTCCTGGCTCCCAGCCCCCTCTCACTTCATTTCTTTCCAGCCATCCCCTCCCATCTCCCTCAAGACCCTGGCTGCCCCACTCCTCTACCCTCAGGTCCCCTCTCAGGGTGGCCTCAGGGCCGGGCATGAATGGTGGCCACCCACCCCATCCTGTTCTTCCCCTCCCATCCCCCCAGGGAGGTCAGAGGGGGCTCCAGGCCCATGAGGCTCTTACCCCAGCTGCAGGTCGGGGGGCGTGGGGATGGGTTTGTTGAATCCATCTCGTCCCACCAGCCAGTACGTGTCTTCTATGCCTTTGCCCTACGGCAAAGCAAAGAGAGAGAGACTGTGAACCCAGAGCTGGAGTGGCGGGGGCTGTGAGTCGGGAGTGTGGGGTACTGACAGAGCTGGGGGGCACAGGGCTGGACTAGCAGGGATTGTGGGTTGGGAGTGTGGGGCATTGGCAGAGCTGGTGGGGGGCAGGGTTGGGCTGTGGGTCAGGAGTGAGGGGCACCAGCAGAGCTGGGGGGAGCCCAGGGCTGGGCTAGCAGGGGCTGCGGATCAGGAGTGAGGGGCACCATTACCTTGAGCTCAGTCTTGCCCCAAACATCCAGTTTGAATCCCTCCTTCAGCGAATGCAGGATGGTGACCGTGCGGATGTTCACGTGGATCCGGTAAGCTGGGGGGAAACACCCGGGACATGTGTGGTGAGCATCCCTAATCCCCAAACAAAATCCCCACCCTCTGCTCTGTCCACACATCCCCTGCCCCCCTCGTACAAACACCCTTGGATGCCACCCCAGGAGATTCTCTCCCGCCCTCCCTACCACTGCCCCGGGTCCTTCCAGAGTACGAGGGGGGGACTCACGCAGGCCGGTGGACTCCATGCGGGAGGCGGTGTTGACGGTGTCCCCGAAGAGGCAGTACCGGGGAATGGTGAGCCCTACCACACCAGCCACGCAGGGCCCTGGGGGGAGACAGGCTTGGAGATGTGTTATGGTGGGATGGACGGATGGACAGGCTACAGGGTGCTGGCCTGGGCGTGACTGACCCAGCGATGCTGCCCGAGATTACAGAGAACCTGAACCCATTGCTCTGATGAGGGGAGATGCCCCCTGCATCTCAGTGGGGAGTTATCTCTGAACCCCATTACTCTAGGGGTCCCAGCCAGTTCCAATCCAACAGGGAGGTTGTGGGGGGCACCGCAGCTCTGCAGCCCTGATTCCCCACCACCACTCAGTCAAGTAAACCCCGGAGGAAGTACTGGGATCCCACTGCTGACACCAAAACCTCTCCATGGGTGGGGGTAAGGAGGGGTTCCTGGGTGGGATTGAAGGGCCCCATTATGCTACAACTCCAGATGGGGGCAAGCTGGGGCACAGGGGGCAGAGAAATAAGGGGCACACCCATCATGAAGTGGCGGAGGCAGACAGAGGGGGCGTGGCCATGGAGGAGGGGACGTGGCCAAGGCTCAGGGGGAACAGGGAGGGGGAATGGCCATGGCACTGTGTCCCTCCTGCCCGTGCCATACTGGAATGCAGGCCGATGCGGATGCGGACGGGCACGTCAGGCATGTGGTGCATGCGGAAGGAGCCGACGGCGCTCAGGATGTCCAGCAACATGTTGGCAATTTCGCCCGCGTGCCAGTTCCCGTTCCGATGGGGCAGCCCTGAGGCCACCACGTAGGCATCTCCGATGGTCTCCACCTGCCGGGGGAGGAGGTCAGAGGGGGAGCCCTGTCCTCAACCTGTGGGGCACTCCACCCTGGAGCACCTGAACTCCCCTGTCCCTGTCCCCCAAATCTCTGCTCCCACCCCCCCCAGTATTGGGCTCCCCAAAACCCACCCCCAACCTCCACCTGCCCCTGGCTGGGCCCCCCATCCTTGCCCCTCTGATCCTGCTCCCCTGTGCTGCCAGCCACTGCCCCCCATTTTGGGGTCCCCCAATCTCTGGTGCCTCCAGGGGGCCCCAGCATGGGGGGTGGTAATTGATCTCCCCTTCTATGACTGGACTCTGGATCCCTGTTCCCCCACAACCTCCACCTCCCTCAGGCTGCCCCCCCATCTTGGCCACCCCCAAGTCAGGGCCCCTGCCCCCCCCAACCACTGCCCCCCATCTCGGGGGCCCCCATTCCCCTATGTCAAGATCTTCCCCGTGTCAATTCCCTGCCTCCCCCTCAGGCCAGGTCCTGCCCCACAGGCCAGGGGAGGCACCTTGTAGACATCGTGGGAGCCGATGATGGCATCGAAGAGGGTGTAGAGGTCATTGAGCAGGTCCACCACCTCGATGGGCTCCCTCATGGCCGAGGTGGTGGTGAAGCCCACGATGTCACTGAAGTAGAGTGTCACCTCCTCGAAGTACTCAGGCTCCACCGGAGTCCCCATCTTCAGCGCCTGTGCCACCGACCTGCATCACCAGGGGGCATCAGCGGGGCTGGGATGGACCCCGACCCCCCCCCCACTGGTCACTCACCACCTCCCCAGAGCCTGCGCACCCAGCCTCCAGTCTCAGGTAGAACCTGGTGGCCGTGTCATGCATTGTTTCTCTGGGTACCACAAGCCTGGGGATTCAGGGAGTGTCCAGTTGGGTGCGGGCCAGCCTCTGGGAGGACTTGGGGGGTTGTCTGGTGTACAGGCCCCACAAGCATGGCTGCATTGGCCTCGTGAGTCTGTCCTGTATGGCTCTGGGTTCCCCATCCCCCTGCCTGGCTGGCTCCAGGCTCCCTCCCCTCCAAGCTGTGATTCACGGTGGCAGCATCTGGGTGAGCAGCTTGTCCATCTTCTGCTTCTCGATCTCCAGCTCCTCCGTCCGCTCCCGGATCAGGTCCTCCAGGTTGCTGGAGTACTGCTCCAGCATGCGCAGCATGGAGTCAATGATGTTGGTCTTCCGGCCTTTGTTGATGTTCTTGAACTGGGGGGGGAGGCATGAGAGGGACGGCTCCCACCTGGCACCAGTGCCCCTGCTCCCCCATCACTGCTGGTTCCGGCACCTCCCATTGGCTCCAGCATCTCTGCTCCCTCTCTGGGCACCTGCTCCAGCATCCCCATTCCCTATCAACTCTGGTTCCAGCATCCCTGCTCCCCTGGGCACTGGCTCCAACATTGCTGGCACCAAATGTCACCTGTTTCCAGCGTCCTAGCTCCCTGTTGGCTCAAGTATCTATGCTCCCCCCCCCCAATCAGCTCTGCTCCTGGTGGGCAAGGCCAGCTCCGGTACCCTCCTTTCTGCCCCTAACCTACTGGGCTGGCTCATCCCCTGTGCCCCATCCCCCATGGGACCAGGCCACCCACCCCGCTACCTGGTCAAAGATCTGGTCAATGGTCGGCCGCCGCTCAGGCTGCTCGCTCCAGCACTGCTTCATCAGCTGGATGCACTCCAGCGGGGCCTGGTCCACCGAGACTGAGGGACGTCACAGCGGGGGCGGCTTCTCCACCTTCTGGATGATCTCTGCCCATGAGAGGAGACCCATGGTCACCACAGGCGCCTGCCGCCCTGCTCTGCCTCCACCTACTGCCCACCTGGAGCTCGGGGGCAGCCCGGAGCTTGGCTAGCAGGGGGATGCAGGACGGGAATGATGGGAACCGGCAGAGCTGGGCTAGGGGATTGCGGGTCAGGAGTGAGGGGCACTGGCAGAGCTGGGGATTGCAGGGCTATGCTGGCAGGGGACTGCAGGTTGGGAGTGAGGGGAACCGGCAGAGCAGGGAGGCAGGAGCTGGAGGAGATGGGGGCACAGTCCCTCCCCCCGTACCATCGGCCGGCATGTCCAGCATGCAGTAGGGGGCACTGCGGCAGATCACCTCCTGCATGATGATGGAGATGCTGTAGACATCCCCACGGAAAGTGCCCTTGCGCTCTAGCGTCGGGTCCCGCAGCAGCTCCGGCGCCGTCCAGAACCGCTCTGGGGACAACAACAAGAAGGGCTGGCTCAGTCGTCTATAGCCCCCCCCTCCCCTGGACACGATGACCCCTCCAACCTGGCCCCCCTCCACCCACATGGGCCCCAGCTCTGCCCCCTTCCCCTGCCCAGACACTTCCCCGGGGCATCACCTTCAGGCCTGGGTGGGTCATGTGGGATCTTCTGGGCCTCCAGGAGCTCATTGTAGCCGTGGCCCGTCACCTTCAGCATAAAGCGCCCATCCACCACGCAGTTCCGTGATTTCAGCCGTCAATGGACCACGTCCCGGTGATGGAGGTACTTCATCCCCTGCAGGGGGGAGAAGGGAGAGAGACGAGGATGAGTACAACTTTCCCCACCCGCGGCTGGTCCCCAGGGATGCCGACAGCACTGGGGTCCGTTCTGATTGAGTGACAGCCCTGATTGACCATGTGGGAGATCCAGTGGATCCCTCCAACCAAACCAGGCAGTTTGCTCCTCAGTTTATTTGGATCAGTAGGTCCCAGGGAATCTCTGGTCCTGATGCCAGGTCAAGTGAGTGGATCCCTCTGGCTGACCCAGGATTGAATGGATCTTATGTTCTTTTGGGTGACTGGGCTCTGGTGCCTAAGTGATCCAGTGGATCCACCAGCTCGATCGATTAATTAGTCCAGTGGGTTTCCTCTCTGATCGATGCATTGAACCAGTAGGTCAACTGGATGCCCAATCTGCCCCCAGATTGGTCCGATAAATCCATCTGCCCCAGCCAGTTGATCTATCCAGTGTACCAGCACCTGGCTGATCCAGTAGATCCTTGTCATCACTAGATCTACTGACTGGGTTCCCTGAGTGTGTCTAATCAATAGATCCCAATGGTTTCCCTAATCAGCTGCATGAATGATTCAGTGGATCACTCTGGCCATGCCAATTGATCTATCCAATTAACATCTTTCCCGGTGTGTTTTGCCAGTGGGTCACAGATTTACCCTGTTTTGATCCAGTGGATTCCTCCACTCTAATCAGTTCAACTATCCATTGGAATCCTTGCCCTGTCAGTGTGTTGTACCAGTGGATCCCCAGCCAGAAGATCGATCCACTGGATCCCTTTGATCCTCTCACTGAGTAGACCTCTCTGGCCAGTGGTTGGTTAGCCCAGTGGATCACCCAGCCCTACCAACGAGCACAGTCTGGGAGTGGATCCTATCCAGCCTCCCAGCCCTGGAGTAGATCCCCTTCCCCTTCTGTGAATGGATTCCCATGGACCTCCCAGCAGATCTCCTCCACCTGGTGCTTTGGGCATCAGGATCCCTTCCTGAAGCCGGGGCTGAATGTGAATGGATCCCCTCTGCCAGGATCCTGCAAGATCCCAGCAGATCCCCTCTGTTTAGCACTCTATGCGAGAGGGATCCCTTCCTGAAGCGGAAGCAGGCTCACTCTTCAAATGGATCTCCCTGCAACCTTCCAGCCAGCATCACCTGAAAATAGATCCCCTCCAAACACAGCTGGACCCCACCCTACCAGCAGACCTTCCCTGTGTGACGGGATCCACTTTGGCAGCTGATCTCCGGCAGTGGAACCCTGAGCTCCCAGCAGATACTTGGCATCACAGGATCCCCACTGGCTAGCCATCTTGCAAGTGAATCTCCCCCATGCCCAATGAACAGCAGATCCTGGCCAGCAATTCATGCAACTGGATTCCCCTGCCTACCCCATCAGATCTGCCACATATCAGTGGATCCAGGCCAGCTTGGTGATCCCTGAAAGTGGATCTCCCAGGCCTCTCTGCAGATCTGTCATCTGAACAGGATCCCCTCTGGTGGTGATCTCTGAAAGTGGATCTATTTCCCCCACCCCCGTTTGAGCATCTCTCCTAGCTGATACCCCATGTCCTTAAATTCACTCACCAGTGGATCCTCCGGTATCCTCCCCCACCAGGCCTGATTCCCGCCTCCTGCCCCAGACCCCAAGGCAGGATCCCAGCCCTGTCCCGCCCCCTTCCTCCTGGCTGTACCTTGATGAGGTCAATGAGCAGGGAGGACTTGAACATCCAGTCGAGCTTCATGTCCTCGTTGCGGATGAGGTCCTCCAGGCTGCCGCGGGAGCAGTGCTCCGAGACAATGGCAAACACCCCGCAGTCATAGAAGAACCCCAGGAACAGGTTCACGTTCTCATGCCTGAGGTCCCGGAGCTGGAGGCAGGGGAGACAGGGAAAGCCAATGGCCAGGGAGGGGAATGCACAGGGTCTATCGCAGCCCCCCGGAGCAGCAGTGACACCCAGTGGCCAGGCAGGGGAATGCTCCCTGTGTCTCAGAGCAGCCATTACAGTGACATGCTCACTGCCGTTCTCACTCACCTTGCAGAAGCTGGTTTTGGTGGCCGGCTTGATCTCTGTGTGCTTTTGCCCCGGGAACTTCTTCAGCCAAACCTAGTCCCCTAGGGGATGAGACAGAAGGGCAGTCCGGTAACCCCAGAGCCAGGCGAGTGGCAGATTCCCGCAGCCAGCCACACCAGGGCAGGGATCAGAACCAGCCAGATTTGTGACAAACAATAGCAGGTTTAGAAGCCAGCAACACCCCGCCCCAGCTCACGCCACCCGGATGGCACCAGCATGGCCTCCAGGGGCATCCAGTGGTAGGGCAGGGAAAGCTGGTCTTCCCAATGGTGGGGAGAAGACAGCAGAGATGCTGCAAGCATGGGGGTGGGAAGGGGAGCTGCCCACTGTATTTTCAGCACCAGGTCTTTGGTTCTTTATCCCTCACTGCATCAGGCTCTGGGCCCCCCATTCTAACCACCAGACCCCACTCCCCTCCCAGAGCCGGGGAGGGAACCCAGGAGTCATAACTCCCAGCCATTCCCCTTCTAACCACCAGGCACAAGGCTACTCATTGGTTAGTGCCAAAGCTTTAAAAAATGCATCCTCCTTTTTCACCCCCATCCCCTCCACCCCCGAGCAGAGATGGCACCTGACCCGGGGGGCTTGGGCTGGAGATGGGGATGGCAGAAGGGGGTTGAGTTGCTAGTTGCCCCTCCCAGCTGGCTAAGACCCACCATCAAAATCGCTGTATCCTGCAGCTGTGGCCTCATGACTTCAGCCTTGGCTGGGGAAAGCCAGGCCCACGATTGCCCACCCCAGCCAGAAAGAGAACAAACCCGGTGTGAGTGGGCAGCCACTCAGCCAGCTATGGCACCGTCCCACCAGTTGCTACAGGGGCTATGATTCATGGGGGGGGCAAGGTTTGCACCAGGCTAAGGTTTCCCTCTCACATCCCCTCATTTCACAGGCCTTTGTTGATCTCCCCCGAGTAGAGGCGGTAGGAAAATTCTCATCAAAAAAGTTTCCCATTGGCAGACGCCGTTTGGGCCACACCAAAATTTTTGGCATCAATTCTGACAAAATTTCATTCAAAAATTTGGGGAAGGGGCGAGGGGGGGGTTGGGTGGGTTTTTTCCATTGTGAAATGACTTTTCATTACTCGATAGTCAAAGAGAATTCAAATCAACCATGGAAAATTTCAGATTGAGCTGAACAAAATGTTGGAATTCCTTGCGATAAGAGACTTCCAGCGGAAGCAAAATCTATTTCAGAATTGGGTTTCGCACAAAAAGACCCTGAAATTCTGAAATTTTGTAGGTTCAAAATATCCCCCCTCCGCAAAAATAAATTGTGTTGGATTTTTCCCCCCAAAAAAAGTCTCAAAAAAGTAAAATTGCAAGACAGAAAATCAATTTCTGACCAGCTCGATTCAAAACTCCCTGATTCACCAGAGCACTTTGGCATGGACTCAGCTTTGAAAGTCCCACTCAGATGGAAGTGTGGCCAGAATCGGAGCAGAACACACCAATCCTGCGTGGGGCAGATCCATTGATAGGATCGGGGCCTCAGGACCCAAAAGACCAGAGCTGCTTTCGGAGGCGGGGGGAGGGGAGGGTGGTCAGTAGTATATGGCTCAATAGCATTCATCACCATATATTTCTGACAGGTTTCCATGTCCCATTTAGGGCTTATATCCTGCCCTTTGTCCCCTGTGTCAAAGTTTGGCACCCTCGGCCATTTTGAAAAAAAAGTTGATTCTTTTTTTAAACTTTAAGTTCTCTCATTCCATTCTTTCAACCTTTTTCTCTAAACAAACAAACAACTGTATCAAAGCACAAGCACACAACATACCCCCTATTCAAACATAAAAAAATTCAAATGGCCGATGGTGCCAAACTTCGATGCCAATGGTAAGAAAGCCCAAAATGTTAGAGCCAGGGTTCAAGGATCATGGGCCCCAGTGGCGGGGGGGGTGTCATTGCAGGGTTTCAAAACCCTCGCATTCTTTATGGCTAAGTAACGGGTCGTTGGGCTCAGCACAGGGAGAAATTGTGTCACATGCAGGCAGTCGAACACATCTAGCCTCCAACCCTGTGAACTTTCTCCTGGAGCTGCAAAACAGGATGGGGTGTCCTCTTCCCACGGGGTTTTTCTGCCAAGGATACCACATGGGGTTGATTTCAGGCTTCCAGTCAAAGAATAGACATAAAAATCTGGCACTTGGCATAGAAGGAGCAGGGCAATTTGGACAGCGGCAGTCAGAAATTCACCCATTGCCATCACCGGACTGGCCACTAGTGGGAAGCAAGGAGTCACCCCCAGTGTTCAGAGAGACCCCCATGGGGAATTGTGGCTGGGAATCCCACTATTCCCACCTCGGAGCTGGGAAATCTCTGAGAGATTTGCCGGAGGCTAAAAGTTCAGCTCCTGGAGGTGCGGGGGGGGAGAAACTCCACATTGTCACTCCCTGCCCAAACCCTGCTGCCTAGCGAGAGGAAATTGAATCAGCATTAAGGAGACCCCACTGGCTGATGGGTCAATAGCTGCTGAATGTGGGCTCATGAGGGTTGCAATGTTGGTGGCGTGAGCTCCTGGAGTGGAGATCATTATGGGAGGATCACAGCCCAGATCTGGGTTGGGATCCGGGCACCGCCTGGCCCAACAGGGCCCTGATCTGGGTCAGGATCCAGGCAGCGCCTGGCATGACAGGGCCCGGATCTGGGTCCGGGTCCGGGCAGCACCTGGCATGACAGGGCCCGGACCTCAATTGGGGTCTGGGCAACGCCCAGCATGACAGGACCCCGGTGAGCAGTAACTGGCCCCATAACACCAATAGTAAGAAACACTCCCCCTTCCCCATGGTGTCCTCTACTGCGTGCTGCGTGCATCGCTGGGAGAAATTCTCGCTTTTTGCACCATTAAAAAAAAAATCAAAATACACTCCCCTGGGAAGGGGGAGTCCCCCCCGCCCGTGACAGGTGGATCCAATGGGCAGGCAATGCGGCCAATGAGGGAATTGGACCCAGGCCCAGTGGTGGCATTACCGACTCAACTCCAGGCGGTGGGGAATGGGGGGCGGCTAACGGGTGCCATAGCCGCTGCTTTCCCTCCTGTCCTTGGGAAAGGAGCAAAACCTGGGGGTAGGAAGGGAAGAAGCCAAGGGGGAGGACGCGGGAGCCCAAAGGCAGCACCTGGAGCCTTTGGCCGCTTACCTGCACGGCTGCCACTAGCCC